CAGACTCAGTAAACGATCGGTGATACAGTAATGATTCGTTGATGTAGTGGTACTTTAAGAAACAAAAATCCTCTTGATTCACCCTGGCTAAGAAACATGAATGGCGCGATAGAGTAGAGGACTGTCAACCAACCGGCATAAAAGGTTGGATAGGGTAAGGGTACGAGTGAGAGGGACCAAGGAAAGGGGAAAGCTAGGGATACCAAGAGGGAAAAAAAACAATTCTGATGACGGGGTTATAACTACTGAATCTTTATACTGATGCCGAAGAGACCGCGTGTTCTGTCAATAAAAGCCTTTCTGACTGTAAGTAGAATTCCGAGAGCTTGAAGCAGTGCGTTTGTCCATTTAGATTTTGCATCGTCTTCTTGTTGGTTACCTTAATGATGTTCGCCAGTGCTGGTTGGTTCAACATGCGATTCGCCATGTCCACTACTGGGTAGGATGGATTCAGGTGTGCCCACGCCAAAGAATGCCCTTGAAAAGTTCTCGGGGTAGAACCACGCCAATAAAGCCTGGATATACCGATCAGCAAGACTCTACGGGAATGCTCGAGCGATTAACGTACGATCATGACATACAAGGCGCACATGGTAAATCCTTCGACCCAGTTAGTCTTTGCATCAGCTGTAATGTAGTTTACGACAAAGCAAGCTGCGACGAGGACCACAACTTCGAAAATGTCTAGTCGCGATACGTCAGTTTACCTGCGGGACACTAAAGTGACAAGGTACACACCAAAGAGAAGGGGAAGAGGCCTTCCAATTCCCCAGCCGATGATAACCAATAGAGGGGTCCAGAAGAGAGTGAACTGGATACTGAGATCGATGGGCCTGGCATCAGCAAGAACGTGTGGGTCGGCATTACGGTGAAGGAACGTCTTGCGGAAGAGATAACCAAAGGTGACGATTCCGTCTCCCGAGAACGAGATGAGAGGAAGCAATATCATGCCAAACCATCTAGACGCGGAATAAATGAGTAAAATTTTAGACAAAATGGAACAAGACACCTACTCCTCCGTGATTCCTCCTTTTTCTCGCACAAACTCGATACTCTCAACTAGCCACTCGGCGGTAAAGCCGATGAGGACGACCAGGACGATCAACAAGCCAAAGCAGAACAAGGGGGAGAGTTTGGGCTGTTCTTTTGCGAGCTTTTCTTCTTCGTGGCGGAAAGCATCGTGACCTCCGGCAGCGTACATATCAAGAGCGTTATCATCACCCGGGGGGTTGATAGCATAGATTCGGGATGCAATGTAAACGAGAAGCATGATAACGGCCTACGATAATTCGAGGATGAGCGGGATAGGATCGCTATGATGGACCATTCTTACCATTCCACGAGAGAACTGTAGGATGGTATTACGAATACCCTCCGTCACCACACC